CGACAAATAATTGAAACAGTGGATTGAAGTTTGATAAATTCTTCACTAGTTTCCCTTTGAATTTTTGGCAAGTTCATTAATATCGATATTTGTTTATCGACCAATATTCTTTCGTTTTCGAATCTTGATTTAAGAGCTTCCCAAGCCAGATTGAAATTATCGTCATTTAGTGCGATACTGTTTGACTATGACGCCTGCTTGACCTTTGTTTTGTATCGGAGGTGATACAATTTTTGTGCGTTTGTTAATTTTGGGTGGTTTATGTAAACGGCTGTAAACATGTCCCGGAAGGACGGCCATTGTTCATAACCACCATGAAATATTTCTGTATCACATGTGGGCACCTTGAGATGGATGCCTGAACTTGTCTCATGACTTTGTACTTGTGGCAGCTCTACTCGCTGATGTGGAGTAGGTGCAATTGCTTTTATTAGCTTAAGTTGATCGAAAATCATTGCTTTAGTTTCGCCGAAGATTTGAAATTTTCTGGTAGATCTGAGTCGTCAGATTCTACAATTGCGTCATATGCAGCTTGGAGACGTTTCCAAAAATTGTCAAGATTGTCTTTTTTTATTTCTAATACCGATTCAGAATTTTCTTGAATCGGCGAAGATGAAAATCGAGTGCAGTATCGTATTAGACTGTCACTCTCAGCAATGAATTTAGTGTAAAAATGTCTTTACCCTCTTTTGCTTTGTAGCACCTTGCTTCGAGCGTGTAGCTTCTGCAGGTGTACATGGACTTTATCATCTGAAATCATCTTTGGTACTTAAACAATCGAGATATTTTGATTCTTTTGAGTCTGAGCTCATTTAAAAGGTATGCCGAAATAAATTAAAATATTTTCAGTGTATAAATATCTTCTTCTATCTATCTTTTAAGAAAAGAAGTTTATTTTTTGTTTCTTTATATATTTTTTTTTTTTTATGAATAAACCAAGTGAATCAATGACGTTTGTAATCTTCGTATTAACTCGTATGAATAACTGAACTCTTTAAGAGAGTAGTTTTTAATTTGATTAAGTAAGCAAAATTTCGCGTATTTAGTTTGTACCGTTCGTATTCACTCGCAATAATTTTTAAATTTATTTTTATTTATTTATTATTGATTATTATAAAACGCGAATGATTTTTATTTTAATTTGATGTGTATGTATTATCGTCCGCAATTCCTATAGGAATACCTATAAGCGGATCAGCTGATACATATGTACTTGTCGTTATGCGCAATTGAGAGCTCGTCTTAGAGATCAATGCGCTTTGTACATATGTATGTATTATATTATGTTTTGCGCAATCCTGCTTGTTTTTGTTGGTCAAAGAACAATGGATATTGCGAATATGTGCCAATGTGGACTTAGAATATTATATGTATATATGCAATCCTACTTGTTTTGTTTAACAAAGAACAAAGGTATTGCGAATATTCGCCAATGTGGACTTTGAAGCGAAGTACGTATGTTTGTAAGCCTGTGCCGGTATGTATGTAAATGCGCGTGTATATATGAAAGACCGCGAAAGGAGATAATAGACCGCAGGTATTCTCGTAAAATGTATATATATATGTATCAAATTATGATCTTGTACACGTATGTTAAAAGATAAAATTGAATTTATGTATGTACATATAGGTATGTATTGCTCTTGGCAATTATATAAAATGTATTTTAATATATATATGTATATGGTTGTTGTTAGATTAAGTATATATATGTAAAAATGTATATGTGCATATAAATATGTGCTATATTGTATGTACGTATGTATATATTTTGTAACTAAATTGCATATATGTATGTATGTAAATTTCTGCTTGTTTTTTTTTTTTTTATGTTTTCGGTTAGGTTCTGAATTTGCCTTAGCTTACTTGGTTTGACGCAATCCTGCTTATTGCTTTGTTAAGCGTAAGGGGTATTGCTGGAAAAGTTTGCAAGTGAATACTTGAATATTTTGGTGTGTTGTTGGAAACGTAAAGTGTGTTTTTAATACACAAATGTAAGCATACAAGCAAATCACCCTATGTAATATGGCTATTTTCGATACCCGTATATATATCTATATATATATATGTATATATATGTAGAGATATATATATAATATGTACCAAACTGTTTTCGGCTCTTTCCGTAAATTAAACCGTAAATTGAGACAGTTTGGTGTCCGTTATATTTAAATATTAATTTCGTTTTTTATATGGAAAAAAACGTAATTTGCCATACATATATACATGTAAATATACTCATTAAGAGGAAGCGATACAACTCACTCTGATTTCCTGCAGGGGTTGTGGGAGATAGAAGTGGACGTTATAAGGTGTAGTTGTCCCAGCTGTTGGATTATATGTTTTTTTTTGTATCGCGCCCGCTGTTGGTTTATATGTATTTTGTGGTATGTATTTTGTATTATGTTTTGATTTATGTTTTGTATTAAGCTTCGCGCCCGTTTTGTTATTTTTATTGTTTTATGTGTTTTTAATATTTATTGAACTTTTATTTATTTTTTTTTATTGTTTACCAGCATTCTAGTGTATATGCACTGCACTGCACTTATATGTACATATGAGTAATTATACTTTGTATTTTTTTTTTTTTTTATTGTTTAACAGCTTTCCAGTAATGTGGCTATATGCACTGCACTGCACTTATTGCACTTATATATGTACATATGTATTTTTCGTTTGTAACCGCACTTTGTTTTAAACTAAAGCATTTTTTTCCTTTTTTTTTTTCTTAACTGCACGTACTGTTACATTACTGTAATTTTGCTTTTTTTTTCCTTTTTTGGTAACTGCACTGTATTTCTATATGTATATGTATATCACTTAAGGTTTTTTTTTTTTATAAATGTATTTTTTTTTTGTAAACACCCATAGTGCCGTCCACTAGGGCTCGAAGGACCATATATAATTCTTTCCAAAGTTTTCAAAGAAAAACTTATACACTCACCACCTTTCGCTTTTAATACAATTGTAATTTTATTTTGTAATTGAAAGTACGGGTTTTATACACTCCCTTAATACCACAATCACTTGCGACGCAGCACAGAGAAGAGAAAAAAAATGTATATAAATGCCTTTGATAGCAATTTAACTGGTTCGGATCAGATCCGCTGATGTGAAGAATCCACGGATGACGGTGCTTTCGCTGCGAGTTCAAAACGAAGAAGAGGCAAGCCGATTCTAGTGTCCGTGGTTTTGTTGATGGTTGGTGGGGTGATCGCCCGGTGTGTTGTGTATCCTGGGTGGTAGGGTCCTTGTGTGAGGTGTATGTTGCGTGAGGTGAGGTGGTGAATGTTGCGAGAGGTGATGTGGTGAATGTTGCGTGTCAGTGATGTGTGAGGTGTGTTGGTGTAAGTTTTCGGGACGACGTAGGCTCATTTAGCCACCGTTTTTGGGTTTTTTTGTCCTCAAAACTTTATGTTTATATATGTATGTATATAATTACTTTAATTTTTACGTTTTTTCTTATTTTTTTAGGGGCCTTTCAAAGAGGCTCGAAGGGCCATTTGTTTACTCATTTAGCTTTTATTTTTTATTCTTTCAAAATTCGGTTAGCAAATATAATTGAAACACAATTTCACTTATATATAATATAATATAATATTTTAAATACACTTGAGGGAACACTTCACGGACAAACTGCGCTGCTACGTTTTCGCTTTACGAACTGGTGTCAAGAAAAAAGGGCCCTTTCTAGTCTGAACAATCCTTTTTGTTCATTTGGGTGGTGAAAAAGAGGATGATTGAAATGTGGGTGTATAGTGTGGTTGGTTAGTTGTATGTGGTTGTGTTGGTGGGTGATATGGTATGTTGTATTGTGTTGTGTTGTATGATGTTGAACGGTGCGTGGTGTGCTGAGATGCTAAATGTCGCGAGATTAAAAGTCGCATGAAGACGCAGGAAGCTAAATTACGGTTTTGTTTTTGACTCCTGAGCGATACTAATGCGACATTACTTTTACTCAAAATTTAGCAATTTCGGAACAAACTTTGCTGCCACACGTTTCATGCCCAAAACATTCGAGAAAATTTAACAATCCGCTGCAAATTCCTTAATAGTGATTCGACGATTTTCAAGAACAATTTTTTTCACTGTTCCAATGTCTTCTTCGCTAGTTGACGTGGTCGTACCTCCAGGATGCTCATCGCCATCAATATCTTCTCGGCCTTCTATAAAGCGTTTGTAGCACTTATAAATAATTTTTTAGAGACAAAGTGGACTCACCGAATACCACAGTCAACATTTCAAGTACCTCGGAGCACTTTATTCCATATTTAACGCAAAATTTATTACATATCCTTTGATCCATTTCTTTCAAAAGTCCAAAATCGAAGAGCACACAAAAATGTGACTAACCTTTTCTGTTGCCAAAAACAAACTACTAATCGTTATTGGCTTCTAATGCAAGCACATGATAAACATATGTGTCCGATTATAACAAAAACAAAATATCGATAATCGAATGTACACAGCTCGCGAAAAATCAAAATTCATCTTTTCTTTTGAACACACCTCGTACATTATAAAAAGGATACTTTCGTGACCGCTGAAAGTGTGCCACTGAAGAAACCGCTGATGGTGCATACATCCATATTTCTTGACATTATTTTCTGTTTTCGGGAACAGTTTTTATGGCTCAATTGGTTCGAACCACGCGGAGACGACCATTCCTTCTTCTGTTATCAACTGTAGTCGTTTGGGAGAAACGATCAATAGTGCATACAAACATTCTCGAAATATTAAATTTTTTGAGAAGCTCATAAATTCCACTTGCGCTTTTCCACACTTATGTTAAGGAATCACTGCAATACGATTTTCTTTAGCTCCCCAGTCCATTGTTAATAAGCGAAAGCGACCCAGAATAACTTACCTTATTTTTGGCTAAGGGAGTAGGGTATCGAAATAATCAATGCCGTGGATACTGAAAAATGATCTTGGACTCACAGCTTACAAGAAACAGCGAGTACATGGCCTAACTGTGGCTAAAAAAAATTGAAGATCGAAAAAAGCAGAGAGCTACTACATTGTCATGACGTGGACGAAATTTTATTTTCGGATAAAAAAATGTTTTTATTGCAAGATAGCCACAATCGGCAAAATAATGGCGTATATGCAATATGTCTGGCAGATGCCCCCATATACAAATTGGCTGTGGAACGACACCAAAATGCTTCCAAAGTTATAGTCTGGAGGGCAATATCAATGAAGCGAAAGTTGCCGCACCTTTTCATCGACCAAAGAGTCAAAATTGACACAAATTATAATGTAGAAAATGTTTCGGAAGGTCATCTATTACCACACGCTCAGAAGTTGTATGGCACCGAATATTTCTGTTTTCAAGAATATCCAAGCAAACCGCACTCAGGACTGGTGTAATAAAAATTTACCCGATTTTATATCAGTTAAGGAATGGTCTGCTGCGTCGCCAGATCTGAATCCTCTTGACTTCTGCATATGGAGATATATGCGCAGTAAAATCGGTGTTACGAAAGGCTTAACCAGTTTGAAGATCGGCTGAGGAAAATTTGGGATGAAATGGACCAAGATATGTTGCGTGCCGCTTGTAAATAGTTCCTCAAACGCTTACGTCAAACTATTAAAGAAAAAGAGGAAAGATTTGAACTAACGACCTAATTCCACAATCATTAAAGTCATTTTTATTTAATATAAAAAAGTATGAAATTTTTCTTTAATTTTTATTGCACTTTGTTTTGATGAAACTTATTCTAGGTCACACGGTACGCCCTCGCTGTATGCATTGTAAACTTTGTAGCAGAATTCATGGCAGGACAATAAAAGTTAACTTAATTATACGTTTTATTATTATAAATTAAATTAATATTAATTTTTGAATGCTAGTTTTAAATAAATGTATTTCATTTTATAATATGGGTGTCGCCACAGATTTCACCTTCGCGAAAAAAAGAAAATAATACTAGCGATTTTTACTTAGTCTTTTCAAAGACGAAAAATTGGACAATGGACCCGGCAGCGTCCGCCTTAAAGTGAAATCCTATATCTCAGAAACTACTCTACCAATTTCAAAATAATATGGTGCATACATTACAGTGACATTAACTGTGGAAATGAGCAAAATCGGCACACCTAAGAATTGAAGTTATCGCAATAAATCCTCTCAGAAATAGTGCCTTTGAGGTATGTCATCTTATGTGTAAAAATTGTCCAAGTCAGACCATAGGTTTTGAATATGTAGACCTTTTACCTAAAATTTTCGTCAATCTGCGATATATGAAATCTAGATAGAATCTTTTTCTTAGAATCTTCTTAATATACAAATTCTTACTTAAGTATTCTCTTAACCACTAACGGACTATGAATTCATTTGCTTTAAACCCAAACTCGCTTATAATATATAGGCAGAAGCGATCCTCTTACTTTTTCCTCATATACCCAATATTTTTAATTTCGTCCCTTTGCCATAGTAGATTTTAGAAGGTATCCGCGATCCATTTACTTTTTCCTTATATACCCAATATTATTATTTTTGTTCCTTTACCATAGCAGAGTTTAGATCTCATAGATATGTATATCTCAGTACAATTTAGATTAGCAATATTTTATTCGGTTGTGAACTGCATGGATATTGGTGTGTACCGTTCTCCAAGCACTTCGACGATGAATGTAGAGATTTGATTTAGTTATATTAAAGTATATAAAAATTGATGTGTTCTATAGATTCGTAAACTATGCATTTGATCATGTGATGACCTTTAGTAAAGTAGTTGTGCATGAGCCAAAAAAGGTTTATGAGTTGGTACGACAAATTTTCAACAGATAGCGCCACTACCATTCCAATGTAAATTGTGAAATTTATGTCCGGCTCACATTGAATAGACAATGGGTTTTTTCTGCATCCAGCGCACAACGAAGTTAAGTTGAGTCTAAAAGACTATCAGCTGACTCAATCCAAAAAGATATATATTGTATATATAAACAAATGAAATTGTTCTAATTGCAACGAGCGAAAGATTATTGCTGCAAAAGTTCGTTTGTACAGCTAGTATTTTAATATATGTCGGGGTAAGTGATTATAGGACCTGCAGCTTAAGTAAGATACCAAATATGATTTTGAACCATTCATAATTTCGTCAAATAATGAATATTGAGTTCGCAGCATATTTAATATCAAGTTTTGCTAACACTTGAAAATATTTCCCCGGCTTTGACCTTTGAATTGACGGAGTACAAAATGTTCGGTTACACCAGACCTTAGCCCTTCGCTACATGTTTAATATAAGGTTTTGCTTTATTCTTGCAAATTCCGAGAATATAAAAATGACTGGGAATGGAAAGTCGAATGGTGATACAAATTATTTCTTGACTTCATAAAAACGTACCACTAGTAACAACCTTACAATTCGAAAATCGAATCTTCAAACGTTTGGAATTAGTGGAGATTTTTCACTGTTCTCAATACCTTCGAATAATTCTTAAGTAGGTATGCTATGTGAATAATTTAAACTCGTTCCGCCAGTTCTTGGTCATCCGATTTGAGTGTAACATACTTTCATTACAAATATATCTAATTTTTTGGGCTATATCCATTTTGAATCGGTTAAGGGGCACACCTTTAATTAAATAAATTAAAAAAAAAAAATGTATTGTTTTGGGTATATTTATACATGTTTCAAGAATACACAGTGCAATTTTTGAAAAACATTTAATATATTTTGAGTTATACGAGAGCTCCGACATCCACAGCTGCAGTGAGTCCGGCCTTCTCCGGAAATCAAACCTAAATATAAAAAATAATCGTTAAACTAGACGATATTCTCTTTACAATGGCCTACGATCAAAATAAATTAAAAATTGACAAAATAGCAGCGCTTTTTAAAAAAAAAGTTGATTCTTACTCAAAATGTTGATCGTTTTTGGCCTGCCAAATAATACGTCTATGCCCCTTACAACGGATTTGTTCTAAACTAGTAAACGAACTATAGTTATCTGGTGTGAAAACTCTCCATTCGTAACCGTATTATACCTTCTCAAGCCCCCACACACCGATTTGTAAGAAATCTTAATACAATTAAGTGGACATATTTTCCTGATAATAATAATACCAAAAGTAAATAAAGGCGGTCCAGACTTCCCTTAGTCCTAATTATTCAATATACTTAACTTAATTCCGCATGCTTTCTTGGTCACCGTTGATTTCCACTAGTATTACATCTTTCTTTACCAAAAATTAGTGTAATCGGAATGCATAAATATAATAAACAGAAAAGATAGCTAAATAAATATTTAAAATAAAACGTGATAATATAGTTTTGTAAAATATTTCGTCTAATAAAATATGTTGCATTCAATATTTTTATAATCTTAAAACACGTTGCAATATATACTAACTTTGTATATACTAACTTTGTTGTTGCAAACACGTAAAACTTATCGATATAAATATAAAATTGGATGATGAGACGAGTGGAATTATGGGCTATTGTCTGTCCGATCGTCCATCTGTCTGCTCGTCCGTGCAAGCGATAACTTCAATAAAAGTTCAGATATTTTCATGAAGCTTTGTACACATGTTCCATAGCAATTTAAGGAGGTTGATATTTCAGATGAATGAAATCAGACCGAGATAGTGTTATCCGAAAAATTATAAAATGCTTTAACCAAGCTTCAAAGTAAGGTATAAAACTGCAACTTGATACAGAAAATCACAGTAGGAGGGGTATCTGTAGTTACAACTTTCGTTGTTGATTTACGTGAGTACCTGCCGGCGACGGCCTTACCTCACGGTGCTCCAAAGCACAACGTATCAATACAATGCGTTGATAAGCGCCCCAAATAATACGAGCTATTTGCAAGTATTAATTTGGTTACCAGTGGCAGTGTGTCTGGGCACACACTACCATCTTGGTAAGATTCGAGGCCGACCTAAAATCTCTTCCGTTTTGGGGTACAGAACGCAGTTGCTTTTTGCAACTTCTTTTTAGAACTGAAAAAACAGTTAGGCTGAATTTTCAGTTCTTCCTGCATTTAGGTTAGGCCATAACCCAACGAGCAAATTGGACCGAAGTCCAAGGGCTTTCTGCTCCCCGTGGTACCAGAAAGCCTCCAGTAAGACTGTGTAGCCGAAACTACTGCCAGTTGAGCTGCCCATTAGTCAATGACTGGTGACATTTGCTTTTCCATTTAAAGTCTATAATATCATTTCAAGCTGAGTATTATAGCACTATTTCTGACATACTATGCTGATATTACTGAGCAAGGTACATAATAACAGTCATAGTGCATATTGGCTTTTAGTCGCCTCTTACGACAGGCATGCCTTACCGCGGGTAAATTATTACCCCTACCCGCAGGGGGATCTGTAGTTACAGTACATATCTCATAAACCATACTTGCTGAGTACAAATCCTTATAGCCCCTCCTCATACAGAGCGGATGAAATCGGTTGATAACCACACGCCTACTCCTAATATAACGGTTATGTTGCAAACTACTAAATCTGTGATAACTCACTAAAATACGTCAGAAGCATTAAATTTCACATTCAAAATGGTTCCAAAGGCTTGTTGTTAGAATCGGCGTTTAAACTGTACAATGAGAGTGAAATCCCATGAAATACTCGACTAATTTCAACCAAATTAGCTGTATAATTTATCCTGATATTCTTATGTTAGAGTGGGTAATTCGTTTGATGACCACGCTCTCTTTTCATATAACACAATTTTAGATTCTCTCTAATTCTTTTTTCTTTAAGTATTGCACCAAGCAAGAAAAAAGTAATGAAAATAAAACACATATAGTGTCTTTAAAGTATGCTCTCTCACGTCTAAACTTTGTCGAAATCGAATGTGTGGACCCTATGCCTATTGCTGACTGTTCATCTAAAATAAACTGCAATCTATGAGATATACTTAGCCTTTTCATAACTTCTGTTACAAAGTTTACAATTCGTACAGCGAGGAAAAATTCACAGAAAAAAGCCATTTTTTATTATAATTTGTATGCAGTGTCTACTCCTATAATAATCAGTTCAGTGTTTGATTTCGCTTATTAGCAATTAGTGGGGAGCTAAAGAAAATCGTATTGTGGTGATTGCAAGTGAAATTATGAGATCAATGTCAAGACTTAATCGAGATGATCTCTACATGAAAATCTACTGTCAGTCGACTGATAATCTTCTGACAATGCGCTTGAAGCAAATTAGGTTCAACAGCTCCAGTAAAGCCGTTACATCTATTAAAAAGTTTTTAAAACTGAAGCAAAAGTTTACCTGAAAGATGTTTTAGAAGGCGTGGTAAACATTTAAGCAATTCTTTTAGATGGATAGCTTTTGATCTTTCAGCAAGATTTTTCTCCAGCACATAAGGCAAAAAGCAATGCTTAAAAAACTATATGGCTAGTTTCATAGCTGCAGGTTATTGGTCGTCTGGATATTCAGATTTGAGTTGGAGAACATGACCTGTCGAATACTCCACAAAAATTTAGCCTCAAAAATCTTTTTTTCAATCAGCGTCGTTAGTACAAATAAAAACTGCATGCTGCTATTGATCAATGGCCGAATCGTTTGAGGGCTTGTGTGAAAGCAATGGGTAAGTAAAAATTCTTCGTATACAAATTTTGAACATCGCTTATATTAGGTAAAGTAAAAAGTTCGTTCGGTTTTTATCTAAGAGATGGCGTTATTGTCCATAATATTAGTGTTACGTGTCGCATCATGTCATACTATAGGGCGCTGAGAACGTTTATTCGCGCTAAAAGTTTGTCTTTGACAGTTTTTAGATTGATTTACTCAGTTCGTTGTGAGTGCTCGTCAAAGATGGACACCAGCAAAGAGAAAATTCGCTATATTTTACAATTTTTCTTCGATCAAGGCGAAAAAGCAGCCAAAGCGACTGAAAAAATTAATTTAGTTTATGGGCCCGATACTGTAAACGAACGTGTGAGATGCACCACGCGTCGGGAGGCCTGTCGTCGAAAATTGCGATAAAATCATGAAAATAGTGGAAACAGACCGTCACGTGAGCACTTATTTAATTGCTGAGGAACTAAAGATAAGCCAGAAAACCGTTTGGAACCATTTGCATAAGCTTGGATTCAAAAAGAAGCTCGATGTTTGGGTGCCACACGAACTAACGCAAAAAAACATGATGGACCGAATTTCCATCTGCGAATCGCTGCTGAATCGCAACAAAATCGACCCGTTTCTGAAGCGGATTGTGACTGGCGATGAAAAATGGGTCACTTACGACAACATCGAGCGCAATTGACGGCTAGGAAGGTTTTGCTGTGTGTTTGGTGGGATTGTCAAGAAATCATCTACTACGAGCTGCTCCCCTATGGCCAAACGCTCAATTCGGCCCTGTACCCTGTACAACTGGACCGCTTGAAGGCAGCACTCATCCAGAAGAGGCCATCTTTGATCAACAGAGGCCGAATTGTGTTCCATCAGGACAACGCCAGGTCACACACGGCTTTGGTGACTCGCCAGAAGCTCCGGGAGCTCGGATGGGAGGTCCTAAAGTGATTACCATCTTTTCCTGCCCATGGCGAACGCGCCTAATGGTGAGAAGTTAGCCTCAAGAGAGGCCTGTGAAAATTGGCTCTCCGAGTTTTTTGCCAATAGGGACGCAGCCTTCTACGAGAGGGACAAATGCACACAAAGTTATCATCTTTTGAAAAATCAATAAAAAACCGAACGAACTTTTTACTTTACCTAATATAATATATGCATGATTAAATAAAATTAACTATTAAAAGTAGCGGCCTAAACTTGTAACAGAACATATGGCAAGACTAAGTATTATTGAAATTCAAATGTAACCTTTTCCTGATATTAATGTGACCTTGTATCAAAAATAAGTAAAATCAGTTCAATACTTGGCCTAGCCCTAATATACCTAACATAAAGATTTTCGAAATTCCAGTTGACTCTATTGCTCACGCCCAATACCTGACTTACCTTAATACAATTCTGAAATCTTCTTTTTCTAATAACAGTATGTATGTACTTCGCATAACCCCCATATACCTAAGAAAAGAATTTCACACTTCTAGTTGGCTTTATGCCGTATATATCGGCAAATATGTAAGGTATCTTAGCAAAATTAATAAAAATATTGGATTTACACTAGTTTAGTGAGAGTATACTTGAGTAATGTCAAAAGTTAATGCAGTCCCTCCAGATCTTTCTTTATTCTAGTCCTAATATCCCCGGTATAGTGATTTCCAAATTTTCACATAAGTAAACCGTTTATGTAGATGTAATGAAATTCTACATAATGTGAGTTAGCGCTGAATATGAATGAAGCTGGTCTAGACATTGGTCTAAACCTCAGATACCCAATATATTAAATGTTTATATCACATAAATATATATTTTTACTGTTAATCAAGCCGATTTTAATATAAACATCACCGACGCGAAGCAAAATATAAAAATGAAAGTAAATGGGTCTATATTTATAATAATTGTTGTTTTTTTAAGGTGTTGGTGTTTTCGAGTCGCGGCAACAGCGTCCAAATTCGATTGACCTTCGTAACATCACCAATTCTGAACTTTCAAGTGGTGGCTATTGTAGCTCCCATGCACATACTATTACTTCTAATATTTCGGGCATTGTAACTAATGCTGTTAATCAAAAAACAGTCTCTCCGGATAAAAATGAAAATGGTATTATATCAATGCATTCAATGCAGAGCGCTGAACAAACCGTGCACGTGGAAAATATTTGTGATGATGAAATATTTAGCGAAAATCAGAACTTTGAACAGTCTGGTTATTTCATTTCTGAGGGAATGGGCACATCAGGAATAAATTCACGGATAAAAATTCGCCCTTCTCAACCTCCACCAGCTCCACCATCAAACGGAAGCAGAAATGGCACACCTGTATCTTCTAATGCTAATACCCCAACACGTATCCGAAATTTGTCAAATAATAGAGACATATTGCCTCCACCACCACCAATCCCGGAAGGAGTTATTAATATATCCCCACCTAGAGCACTCTCTGTTGGGAACGGAAATGCTTCAATAGGAATTTCTGTTCAATTGCCGAAGAACAAATCAAGTATTTTATTGCACCTAGATAACAATTTCACTAATTCGAATCTGGCTAATATGTCCCGACCTCCTATATATCAGGATTTGTCTTCATCACCACAGGCGGAACAGCAGGTTAGTATGCACAATAATGATTTATGAACACATAAATATTTGCAATAAATGCTCTGATTTAATCTATCGAAATAAATAGGTTTAGTTTAATACCCAGCTTCTTTTTATCCAACTGTAAAATACTATATTTTGGAACACTATGTGTTATTTCAAAATACCGCCGAACATTATATATTCTCGTAATTTGAAGGTAATAGGGTGTGTTCGTGATGGCAATCACGATAGCAGTGTTGCAAATTTGTCAAAGTATCACGTTCTGCGTGAATTTTTGGCAACACTTGCAACAGCATCACCTTCTACTGTCACTTTCCGTACGTAATTTATGCAAATAATCGGCAACACTAAATTTTTGTCTGCACATCAGCAGAGTATCAGCAAATATGCAACACAGTAGCTGTACAGCTGCAATTATTACGTAGCTCGAACGCACCTATAACATGTCTAAAATATTTGGGATAGTTTGGAAAATAATACAAACCCTTTATAACTCAACTAAATAAAAAAGTAAAATCATACGGATTCTAATAGGTGTTAGGAAGAAAAAAACACGTATTTCCTAATTTTTCTTTTTTTGGGGAGGAAACAGCCAAGAGTGTGGCAGATATCATACATTAAGTGAAATAAAACAAACACATTAGTTATGCTTGTAGCGTAAAGCTACACCACATTTTTCACATATGGTTTGTGATACTACTGCCATTGGAGAAATATGTTGAACAGGCGCCTTATGCTTTTTCGCTTGAATATCAGTTTCTATTGCAGCTCTGCGTGTTATGGTTATCTTTGTACCTATTTTGCACAGGACCTTAGGAACTCTTAAACGAAAATCAACTGATGACAACTGATTGCCCTCCGCATTCTGTTCTTTCCTAATTCTTTTAGCCAAGCCAATAATAAGACATTGCAAAGTCTCAAAGTGGTAAAACATGCAAACTTGCCATCGTCTACTTTTCAACAATATTGTTTAAGAGCCCATGATGCTATCAATGAGATCGATCCCACCCATGTGACGACCATGCTCGCTCACTACGTAAGGTCTTTCAATTTTAATATATTTTTTGCTGGCCTTATCATAGCGCCGTACTTCGGATTTTGTTAGCTCATCAGCAAAACTAGATTCTAGAGTAACAAATTTGATGTCCTTCCAGAGAGTGGTAGATACATCTATTCCTCCAATATTTCAAACATTTTCGACGGAGTGTCCACGAGCATTTTTCGAAATATTTTTTTCTGTCGGCAATTTACAGTCAGGTATTATATTTCGTCGTATGGTTCCTGAGCTGAGGATTTGGCCAAATATTCTATCAATGACAACAATGTAAAATATTTGTCAAACTAAAGCCTGTAGCTTCGGTTCCTCGGAATATTTCTCGTTACTACGTTTGAGGCAGCACCCAAATCTGACTCTACAGGTCTATAATATTTTCAGCTCCATATTCTATTTCAAAATTGTACGCGAAACCGCTAGTGTAGTTATTCCTTGCTTTCGTTGAACAAATTTGTTCATACACATAAAGCAGACTCTTCAACGGAATTTGCATTCATATTTCGTTCAATTTCGTCAGTAATGGTCGAATCTTAAACACTCTATCCGAGTTGGGATCTCGCGAGGAAGCATCTTAGAATTGTCATTAACCCTTTTAGTGCCGGGCGAAATAGAGGTGCCTATGCGAAAAAACCGGCCGAATTTCACAGTTTTACAAGGGTTCGCAAAAATGCTTGTAAAAACCAAACGATATTTACATGAGTGAAAAAGCTGCGTATTGTGGATGAAATACAGAACTAAACAATGACACTCGTTTTTTCGAATTGATTTGAAAATTATAGAAAAAACAAAGGTATAAACGTTTGTAAATAAAATGAATTTGAAATCTCTTGTAGAAAACGTATTTGCACATACAAACAGTCATCTTTTCATCATAATTGTCTATGGGTCAATTATTATAACGTATATACTTTGTATTTCCAATATATATCTTGTAACAAGATAAACAATATTCCATAACAAAAATAAAACATAACTCGAAGGTACGGTCTTTATGTTAGGTTTCGGAACCCCCAGCGATTGGGAAAACGTCGTCAACAAAGAGTTCAAAGAAAAAAATATTTTTTTTAAATTATCTTGTAATGAAATTAGATCATTTAAAACGCATAACAAATTTATTTTGAGATAGAGTTCTCCCGCAATGCGAGTAGTAAACCGCTACAAGGCGCTAGCCGATATATCGGCTCTTGTTGCACTGGCGAGAAGTGCCCTTCGGCACCCAAGTGTATAAATTGCCTCTACTTTTCAAATTTGTTCGCTGACATCGTTTCCTTTATGAAAGATGATCCGACTTCATAATTCCAATGTTTCGTTACTCTTAGAAGATGTACCAAAGACATTATATAAGTTATTCTAATAAATTGCTGAAGGTCGATTTCGGATACATGAAAATTCTTGCTGGTATCTTTTTGTATAATTTAAGTAATGGTTTGCTCAGCGATATTCAGGAATAATTCTTGAGGAAATATTTTTAGCAAAAACTGGATGGGCGTTTCTAAATCCACAATATCAGCAGGTAGTTATTTCCTTCCTGTAAATCGAAGTTGATGTTTTGAGTTCAATATTTTTTTTTCTTTCAGACGACATTTTTCTTTAGCTTAATGTAACGTGATGCACCTGGCTAACTAGCATTTGCAAATATTCTATAATGATTGCTCTAAGGCACTATTAAAGTTATTGTTTTCGATTTCATTATGTCCATCGCCCTGCTCGAAATCGGAGTCTAAACTTACATTGTTATCGGGATCGTCAACATCTGCTCAACTGCGGTATGCCATTCTGTTAGAGTAAATCAGAAACTAAGCTACTTGTAACTCAATGTTACAGAAATGATATAAACATTAATTTTGTTCCTGTATTATAATAATTAATATTTTTTTTAATCAATGCAAAGTTTGCACAGAAATTAACTTATCTTACCTATACCTCAAAAAAACGATATTTTTTAACTGAATAGTATATTTTTATGAAATTTGTAAAGAATGCATACACTTGTATTCACTAAGTACACCAAACTTGAAATTTAAATAACGTTTTAGGCAGAATGCGACGTGTTGAAAAAAAAATATCCAGCAATTGTATAAAACGATTCGTACCAGTGATGTCACATCAATTAAAAATTACCAAACTAATTTTTTCACCGTGAACATACATATATGTTACATGATGCTAAGTATAAAGGGTTAAAGAAGAAGTCAGATAATCACCTTTAGATATAATGACTTATGGCAGCGTTTTTTCCGATTCTCAAAGCACTTAAAAATCTAGGGGTGATTACTTTGAAGGGGACAAAATAAATATTTATGAGTAAATAAACACTTAAGAAATGCAAAATTTGCGATATTTTAAACAAACCTCGTACATACTTGTATGTACCTACACTAAAAATGCAGCCAGGAAGTAGTTTAGATACACTTCATTAACTGTCTGAGGCCGTATGTACAATACATCTTCAATTTATTGAAGTTAAAACTAGTAGCGAAATCTTTTGAGAGCTGTTAGTACTTGAAGATGTTACTATAGCAGAGTTTCAACATCGATGGCCCCGCGGACAAAGTTTGTTGTGCAATTTTTTCATTTAAATTTGTTCTTCGGAAATTTTTCGAAGTGTTATCTTATTGCAATATTTGAATTTTGTTATTAAATCAAATTGTTCAGTTTAATTCGATATTCTTGTTCATTTATGTTGCTGAATTATTGGACTAACGTGCGAAAAGTGAATTTTTAGTTTCAAAATTGTATCGTGAAATTGTCGTCTTGTTTAAATAGTACACAGGACTAAAGATCTGTTTTGTGTAACATACGATTTTTTTCAGCTTGAATATGGACGACCAAGCAATTGAGGATATTCTGAATAACACTGACTTTGACATATCTGAAGACGATGATGATGAAGAGTACTTGCCTCCGGATATCTTAAAAGCTCTTCAAGAGTCTAAAGAAGCGGAAAATAGTTGAGAAGGCGAAGCGAAGAATACCTGAGGAAGCGAGACAAGACGACGGAAATATTGACGAAGTAAGTCAAATGACATCACGATCATTCCTTCGGAAGAACGTAATGCCCTGTCGTGGACCTGATCATGTAGATGACGTGCTAATTTCGCAAGGGAATGCAGACGTTAATGTATTGTTTTTGTTTTTTTTTTTGTTTTGAATATTTGGGGCTATGGAAGGTAGGTAGGTAGAGTGGCTGTCTAACGACGCACCTAGGCCTATAGGAGGCCCATTGTGATACCACCGGGACTAATGTTCCCTCACTCTATCGTCTTCTCTCTGAACCAACCTGTGCTTCTGATGAAGCTCATCAGTGCAAATAGTTTTATATTAACAACTGCCGATTCAGGGCAACCCTCGACCGATAGTTGCGATTCTTTTTCTGTATCTAGCTATCTATGTCAATACTTTTAAATTTTAATAGTCGGTTTGTGCGACTCACGCTCCATTCCTGCCACGTTAGTCTGCTAGTTGAGCAAGTTATTGAATGTCTTGGCTGAGACTCAGCTAGATTTGTAGCATCTTCGCTGATTAAGTGTTTGCAAGTCGCCAGAGGCTTAAAAATTCCCTCTTTTTTAGGGGTTAATTGTAAAGTGGTAGTTCATCTGCTTCGCAGTTACCAGGAATATCAATATGTCCTGGAACCCATTGCAGGTTTATCGTGAAGTAGGATGTTAGATCCTCTAATAGATCAAGACATTTTTTCACTATCCTTGATGAGACCATAGGAGACTTGAGTGATTTTAAGGCTGCTTGGCTATCCGTATATATGTATATATATGCTCCTTGTTGTAAGCACACTTTTTGTCAATACCACAAGGCTTTCTTTGATTGCTGTAATTTCCGCCTGGAAAACACTGCAGTGGTCTGGTAACCGGAATGCGATTTTGGTTGCGGAAAAGACCCCACCTCCCACTCGATTATCTAGTTTGGATCCATCCGTGTAGATGCTAATTCCTGCATTCCTGTCCACCCCGTACCTTTCAACACTCCTCTTTGGTGAGGAAGGCAATATTGTGGACTGAATTTAGCTTCAATTCTATTGGATTGCGGAAATCCGTGGTTTTGGGTAAAAACGGAAATAAACTAAGTATCCTAGAATGACTTTGCTGCCACTTGCTTTCTGTAAGCAGGTCTGTTGGTAATAAATGTAGCATGATGTTTAGTGCCTGGCTTGGCGTTATTCTAAGAGCTCCACTAATGCATATACTGGCTGCTCTTTGTATACTTTCCATACGCCTCACCGCGTATTTCTTTTCCATAATTGGCCACCATACCAATATACCGTATGTCATGATTGGTTTGACCATTGCTGTGTAGAGCCAATAAGCTATCCAAGGCGTTCCCTTCTTATCTAGATCCAACAGCAATGTATTCATTGTCAGGATCCAGAGAAGTAGGGATAACACGCCTCCCTGAAGTTTATCCCTTTGGACAGATCTGCACATGGTTGACGCTCCCAGCGTTGAAAATATTGAATTGCTCGTGAGCATCTGTTGAATTAATTTTCTGAGAGGTTCAGAGATGCCCAGATCCTTAGGCGCACTCAGTATGGGCCTAGGCTGAATATTATTGCTCCTTCTATAACCAAGAAGGCAATTAGAGTGTATTCTTTAACTTCCAGAGATCTTTCAATCTCTGCTACCACTGAGCTTAGTGCTGTTTCTGTGGATTTGCCTTTAAAATACGCATGCTGGTTTTAGTTTGTTTCTTATATGCAGTTCTATTAGCCTTTCCAATGTTTTTAGAAGGAATGAGGAGAAGCTAATTGGTCTTTAGGACTTGTATGCGAGCTTTTGCCTGCCTTAGGTATGTAAATTATCTTGACTTCCCTCCAAAGCGAAGGAATATAGTTTAATTGCAGCGCCCCCTTAAGAATGGTAACTAGCCAATCCATTATGTAATTCTGCGACTGCTCTAATTGAACCGGGAATAGACCATCTGGTGCCGGCGACTTGAAGGGCTTGAAGCTATTTATTGCTTAGCGTTCGTTGCTTTCTGACACTATGTTTATAAGAGTAGAGTCTATTTCTGCTCCACTGTCTTGAGTATATTTTACAGTATGGCTTTCAGAACTACCTGGGAAGTGGATATTCATTAGTAGTCCAAGTGACTCTTCACTGGATACCGTCCAACTGCCGTCTGGCTTCTGAAGATAACCGATACTATGCACCGGATGTGCCATTATTTTCCTAAGTCGAAACGCTTCCGCTGTGTTCTCGATATCATTACAAAAAGATTTCCAAGAATTTCTTTTTTGCTTTCCTAACTTCCTTTTTGTATGACCTAAGGAGATTGGTATAATAATCCCAGACTGACAGACCTTGGGATTGCTTAGCTAAATTGAACTGCTTTCTGCATTCTTTCTGTAACTTTTTAAGTTCAGGAGAACACCTGGAGACCTAATTCTACCCCTACTTCGTGTTATTGGACAAGCCACTTCTAATGTTTGCCAGCAAGATTCAGTGCAACGATCAACGAGGATATCAAGATTCTTCTTACTATTTGACTGAAACGGCGGAATCATAGGGATACGTTTTTCCAGCTCTTACATGTGCACTTGCCAGTTCGTTTTACTATGATTTCTGAAGTTACTGCCTCTGTCGGCCCTTTCCTCCATTATACTGTAAATTAAAGTTTGTAATCTAGTCATTATAATATAATATATATAATCTGTGTGGCAACTCTACCACTTATTAAATTATAATCTATATGTGTGGCAACTCTGCCACTTAATAAAGACGCCATTGTCCTCAACATGGTAGCCGATCAAGGTCTTTTTTTCTTTTATTCACTGTTGGCATATTAAAACTGTTGGCTATAATTTGATATTAGTTGGTTTTTTAATCTTGTTTTATAAAATTGATCTGAGTGTTTAAATAACTTATCTAAGTCGTTTTTAATTCAACACTGTTAAATAAAGTAATACCTGTGGCTAGGTTGCTAAAAGGTCGAAAAATTATATAACCACAAAAAATTTCAACGTTTTATATACAGCAAATGGCAACTAATTAATTGAAAAATGACAAGGAAAAGTTGATCAGTGAAAATTATGAATTATAACTACAAGATAAAAAATATTTGCAAAAAAAATTTCTTGAAGTAACAAAAAAGGTTCTAATACTAAAACAAAATCGATAGTAAAATAAAAACACAAGAAGATAGAGAATTAAAAATTGCTACTCGAACAAAAGTTGAAGATATAATAATTCCAATTATTACTGGAGCCAACTTTACAAGTTGGAATTTAAAATTAATGTTACTTGAATACAAAGAATGCAAAGAACAAGCAACCAGAATAATATCTGATCAAGATACAGAAGCAGACTGGAACACAAAGAATTTAAAAGCTATAATGATAATTATGAGCACAGATATGATGACAAAATTCGACGGTATTTATACATCAAAATCGACGGCACTTCAGATACTGCAAAGAGGAAAAATGGAAGAAAAAAAACTAAATAATTATACTGAAGTGGATGAATTTTTCATGGATTTCAAACAATCAAGCAATTAACGATTTTAGAGCAGCTGGCGGAGTACTGGAGGAAGCTGTAAAATTGAGATATTTAATTAAAGGTTTGCCATCAAGCTACAGCTACATTGGTGATTTCATAGATGTCGTGCCAGAAAAACAAAGAACAGTAGACTACCTGAAAAATAAAATAAAAGAAAAAACATGAACAAAAGTGAAGTATATAAAAGATCAAGTGTAAGCACCTTCAATACAAAAACGAAAAAACAACAGACAGTGTTTCGTGTGGGGTAAATATGGACACCAAAACAAGGACTGTTATTATAATCAAAACGACCAAGAACCAACACAAGACGGTCAAGGCAGAGGAATTCAATATAATCAGGTAAGAGGATCACAGAGAGGTTACGGAAGAGACCAACAAACTAACGATTCTTCAAATCAATCTTCAGGAAACGAATCTAGCTCAGCATGGTCAACTCAAGTGCACCCTGAGGTAAACCAAGTAAATAGATACAAACATTAAAACTCAAGCGATAATGATAATCTAATTAATTGGATTTTTGATAGTGGCTGTACAGACCACATAATTAAAACCGACAAATATTTTGTAAGTTATGTCGATTTAATAAATCCTATTAATGTTAAATTACCAGACGGTAAAACATTAGAAGCCACTAAATTGGGAAATGTAAAAATAATTTTTAAATATTAATATAATCAGAAAAACATATAGAACAATTTGTAACTGAAGTGAATAATACAAAAACAAATTACACAAACGTAGTGAAACTAACTGAAAAAGAAAAATGGCATAGGGCATTAGGCCATGTAAATTTTAAATATTTGAATAAATTAATAAATGAAAAATTACTTGAAGGTTTGCCTGAAAAAATTTAAATGAAGTGTGCAAACTGTATATGTGTAAAATATCAAATATACAATTCGATAATGAAATATCAAAAACAAAAGAAATCTTAGAATTAGTACACACAGATTTAAACGGCCCACATACTATCGGGTATGACGGAGAAAAATATTTTCTAACATTCGTCGATGACTATAGCAGGTGTACTAGGTTATACTGTTAACTTTACAAATTTAATAAATGTGTAAAGAAATTACAGTGCGTTAACGTTATGAAAACAGTAGCTTACCTTAAAAATCGAACTCTAGCTAACACTCAAAAGAATAAGACACCATACGAAATATTCTTCGGTATTAAACCAAACGTTAAACATTTGAAAATTTACGGAAGTAGAGTGTTCGCCAGAATACCGGAAGTTCTACGTAAACGTAAATGGGACGACAAAGCTAAAGTTGGAGTACTTATCGGTTACAATGAAAACGGTTATAGAGTACTGATAAACGATAGAGTAATCAATGTTAGGCACGTCGAAATTGTCGAGGATAAAACCGAGTTAATTTGCTTAGAAAATAACGATGATGATAAATTCGAACGCGAGAATAATAATTCTATACGTGATAGCATTGACAATGAATCCAATTAGTGTGAAATCTGCGAGAATGAGGACTCTGAAAATGAAACAACCTCACAAGAACAAAATTTTTTGCCTATACCAATCCAACAGTGTACGGACATCAATGTCTTAATGATATAAAATACGAAAATAAAGGAAATTTACAAACACTTAGAGAATCCAGTAGAAATAAAAGTCCAGTAAATCGATATGGTAATCCAATATCACATTTTATTTACGTAAATCACATGCAAATGTACCCAACACATTCGAAGAAGCGATCAATTGAATAGAACACAAAGAATGGAAAAAAGCAATGAATTTAGAAATAAAAACATACTTGGAAAATTGTTGATAAACCTAAAAATAAAAAAAATATTTATGTTAAATGGATTTATAAAAAACAAGTAAGGAAGCGCTAAGTTCGGATGTAACCGAACCTTTTTTACTCTCACAAAGTCAAATGGTATACTCGTTTGAGATTTCTTTGCGGATTGACCGATATTTCCGGTAGAAGGTTAACTATAGGCACTGGGGTTCACATATTCAGTACCTAGGGGCGTAAATAGTTTGGAATCGGTTGAAATCGGTTAATCAGATCCTAAGATATGGGTTTTCACCTGTTGTTGTTGTAACGGTTACCTAATCCCCGTTTGGGTGATAAATTCCAGATTGGTTGTCGTCGAGGTCATCTAGCTATAGGGAAAAGGGTCTTAGATGAGTGGGGTTCGTTGGGCATGCAAAGAGGTGGTTAGTGTCATGCGGAGACTCACTGCACGCAGGACTTAAGTTTGGTATGTCGGGGTCTATTCTGGATAAGTAGGAGTTTAACCTGCTACAATATCCAGAACAAAGTTGCGCGAGGGTCACTCTGATTTCGCGAGGCAACTCGAGCTTTACGTCTGCTATGGATGGTGGTTTGACTCGTAGTGCGCCATTCACTGAGAGGGAATCGGTGAAGGTGTTGATGGCTTCACTGTGAATGGCGGTCAGTGCCGACTGAAGTTCGTTGTGTCCGAAGTCCTGTCGGCGTACTGTCTAATGTCGTCGACGTAATCAAAAAAAGACCTCTTGATGTACCTAGGAGGCGGCTCCACTTCAAGCAGACGACTGCAGGGGTGGTTTCTACGAAAACACCCAGCAGAAACTGCTTGGAGAGGAGCTCGTTATGTTCCTTAACCGGAAGCATACGGACCTCACTGTGTAGGTGTTCGATTGGGGACATCAAGAGGCATCCCACGATGGTCCGGAGTGCAGTGTTCTGACAGGTCTGGAGCTTCTTCGTCTGCGTAGCACTACATCCAGGCGACCATATTGGGGCTGCATAGTTCAGCACCGGCCGGCCGATTGCCTTATGTCGCCAGCAACGTTTCTTTGTCTTTTCCTCAAGAGCTGCCGGCAAGCGATTTGAGGATTTGTTGCGGTTCTGTACTTTGGCAGTTATCGCGATCGTGTGAGGAGTGAAGGAGCAAAGACTGTCTAGTGTAACGCCTAAAATTTTAGGGTTGTTTACCTTCGGAATTTTGTTACCATCAACTGAAATGTTTAGATCCAGTCTGTACTCCTTCGTCCAGTTCGTAAATATGGTCGCTATTGATTTAGTGGGGGAGAGTGTCAGACTCCTTGCAGAGAAGAAGCGAGAAAGATCAGAGAGATAGCCGTTTACTTTCGAGCACATGCCATCGATTCCATTGCCCGACGTCAATATCGTGCAGTCATCAGCGTACGAGGTCACCGAAATTCCCTCTGATGGTTGAGGGAGTTTCGAGATGTAGAAGTTAAACAGTAAAGGAGAGAGGACACCACCCTGCGGAACCCCCTATTTAATTCTTCTTAGTTTGGAGTTATGACCTCGAAACAGTACGGATGAATGCCGACCGCTCAGGTAGTTCATGGACCGCTTCACCCCTGGATGGAGCGTAGATTGTTCGATGTCCTAAAGTGGCGTTGTGTGGTTGACTGTGTCGAAGGCTTTCGAAAAGTCCAACGCTACGAGGATCGTCCACTCGCAGGGTGGCTTCTGGTTTAGGCCACGAACTATCTGGCGTTATGACGCTAAGTGCTGTGGTGGTGCTGTGCACTTTTCGGAAGCCATGCTGATGTTCTGCTAGACTAAGGTAAACGTCGGTAGTAACAAGGAATCAAGTGTCTTCACTACTGGGGAAAGAAGAGTTATCGGACGATAAGACTCCCCTTTGTTGACGGGTTTCCCAGGCTTCAGTATTGGGACGACTCTTCCGACTTTCCACACATCGGGTATTTGAAAAGTGGCCGTCCACAAGTTGAAGACCTTGGTGAGGTTGCTTACTCCTGGCGAGCCTAGATGTTTTAGCATCAGCATGCTTATTCCGTCAGGGCCAATGTATTTTGACGATTTGGCCTTTGTGATGGCACTCTGAACCTACCCATCGGTGAAAGTACGTGGTGCGTAGTCTTTTGGCATTTTGCGCAGCCGTCGGGTAACACATCGTTCGCCTTGCCAGTCGAAGGGTGCAGTGTAAACTGCCGGCTAAAATAGCTGGCGCACTTCTTCGGGTCCGAGGAGACATGGCCATCGAATTGAATTTCAACCCGATCATCCTGTTCCCTCGGATTTGACAGGGCCTTGACAGTAGTCCAAAGCTTACTTACACCGGTGGAGAGGTTGCAGGACTTCAGGTGCTCTATCCATTTTGTCCGCTTATGATGGTTTGCCATTTACCGAATCTCCAAATTGAGATCCCTTATTCGGGGATCATAGGGATCGGCATGGCGTAAGGTGTCGCGCACGTTTGCTAGTACAGCTGCTTCGGCTGAAAATTTTTGCGGAGTTCCGCGATTCTTCCAGCCGGTATGAAGCGATCACTGGGTAGTGCGTTGAAGGTGCTCTCGGTAAATTCTGTGAAGCCGATCAGTTAGCTTTGTTAAAGTTAACAAAAGTGCGGTTGGTGACAGAAATAAAGTCGGGAGGTTGCTCGATCGAGATAATTATGGGCAGATGGTCTGATGCGAGAGTTAGCATAGGTCGCCAGGTTATGCTATTTATCAGACCACCGCTAGCGATGGTAATATCTGGCGAGCTACTACAGGTGCCCATAATTCTGGTGGGGGCTTCGTCATTCATTGTGCAGAATGTCGAATCGTCAATCTGTTCCGCCAGCTCCATCCCCCAACGATCGTTTGATAGGCAGGAATGCCAAAGATCGTGATGCGCGTTAAAGTCGCCTAGCACCAAACGGTTTTCACCACGAAGTAGCGCATCTATATTCGGGTGATATCCTGTTGGGCAACATGTAACTGGGGGGATGTATATATTAAATATTTCGAGCTCGACATCGCCTGACCGGACAGCTATACCCTAACATTCAAGGGTAGTGTCCCTGCGGTCGATGTCAACATCGATTAGACGATATTGCACGGTGTTATGCAATATGAAAGCTAGGCCCCCACCATTATCTCGCGGTTGGTCAGACTTGGAGTTATGCTGTCTGTGTGAGCTCCTTAGGGCCGTGGAGGTCCTTTCTTGGCCACACGACTGGAGTGGCGGCGCAGTGCGCGAACAAGGTGCAGGTTGCACAGCCGTTTAGGCAGATGTCGCAGTATTGTTTTGACAGCATGGGGCCACATAACTCGTGGTCCCCTCCCTGTGTGGCTTAAGGCCTGAGCAGGTCTTAAGATGGCTCGATCCATTGCATGTATTGCACCTAACCGAGGTGGAGTTTGGATGGAGCCGTCTAGCGCAAACGCAGCAGTAAAATTCCTCGGGGCCCGGGTTGGACTCGATGCCAGCACGGGTCAGGAGGATACGGAGCAGCCCTGCTGCTAGGCATTGCCCCAATGACGACAAGCTGACCGATCCAAACAGGGTTAGATCGCCGAAACAGCCCTTGGCCGGATAAAATCCGGGTAAATTCCGGTAACGTAGAACCGGCTGTTGTGAGAAACTGAGCAGTGCCACGCCCATTGTCTAATTTCCTCCTATAAAATAAGCTCATACGATCCCTGTGTTAAAAATTTATGACTCTGGCGTGTTTAGTGCTTGATTTATCGCGCTTTTAGTAGTTTTTAAAATTACCGTTATATGGGGAGTGGGCGGGGTTGTCACCCATTTTCACACCGTAGATAGAGGGGCTAAAAACATTTGTTCTCAGTGAATTTTGTTATTATAGCAACCGGCGTCATTTTTATAAGAAAGAAGCACTGAATGCAACGCGTTCATTGTGGCATACCCTTTGTTTTCTGCGCTTCGTTGTTTCAGTATGAACTGTCACGTAATGCGAGGAGAGTTTTATGTGAATGAAAATCCAGTTGATAGTGTTACCACCGTACCCTCATCCTATGGTATATAGTCGTAGGTGGTGAGATAAAAGCTCACTTCAGACGATCGATGGAAACTTTCACTTTGAGCGTTTTCGGTAACGCAAACTGCGTAGTATGCATGATGCGACCATTTCAAAAAAGCAAACCTGCACCTTTGCCAAAAGTGAAACTTCGAAAAAGCATCACTGTTGCAACGACTTAGCGCAAAACTTGCAACATTTGAAAAGTAGTTGCACAAAAACCAACTGTGCTAGCTTAAATATTATTGTAAGCACTAAAGCTTTCACTTTTGGAATAATCCATTGGATTTCAAAACACGATTCATTATCTTTTTGTACCTTTCTAATATAAATCAATAATTTTGGCTATCTTACTCGTCAGTGAGAATATTAATAAGTATTTCGCACATTTTTATGTTTGAAAATGCAAATTTTCAAAAGCGCCGTTTTTAACAGGTTCATGCAAGGGCATCAGCCAGCATAAAATCAACAGCGAAAACTACGCATCGTTGCCTGTATTTAATGAATTACCGAAAAAGCCATTTGTTTCCTTTTATTTCTATCGGAAAGTATTAAGGCGAACAGCTCAAAATTTTGAATGGTCGGTGTACGGTGCTGATAATGACTCACAGAGTCATCGCGGATCAAGGTTTGGTCACAAAATTTTTTATTAAGAGGACGTGGTTCTCAGCTGATATGGCACGCACCAGTAATTTTCAGTTTTGATTTCATTACTACGTTGCTATTTTCGACGGAGTAGAACCGACTTCGTATTTAGGGATGCCAAGATTAATGAAATGATTAGCTTTAATCGCGTATTTTTCTTCAGAAAGCATATAAATTGATGATTAGCCAATATCTTGCAATTAATTGAAATCACTGTTTTGCTCCTGCAATTAATTATTTGATTCATTAATTGGTTAATCATTTGGTTTGTTGTTGCCATTCCTAGTCGTCTATATAAAAACCCTTGGATACGATCAAATTATTGCTTCAAGCATTACATATGCGTGGGTAAAGTTCATTTGTATCTTGCCCTCAAGCATCCGAATAAATCACGTCAAACATCATTTCATATTGACTCTCACAGTGTTCGGTTGTCATGTCGTGATCGGAAGCGGCTGTTGTTGTTTTATTGAAAACAAGAATGTTAATAGGAATAAGAAGAAGGAGTGGATGAAGGTGTGGTACCAAAAACGAAAGCCATTTACAGATGAAAATCTTCTAGACGAATTGAAATTTTCAAGCGAAAAAAAACCCCTAACTTTTTGCGAATCGATTCAAAACCCAATGATTTTAAATAATTAAAAGTTCATTAAATTTTAACATCACCCCAACACATACATTGGGCTCTCAAAAGATAGGTTGTATCAGCAGATTCGGTCTAAGGTTTTGCGTCGGTGACTGTTTTCAGCATTACGACAGAATGGGTGCGTTTGAGCATCTCGACAGGCAATTAACTATTGCTAAAAATCTGATTTGCTAACAATATTGCCAATAGAGACTGCATATTACTTATGTTTAGCAGCTGATGTCTAAATATATTTCTTGCCATACATTGCTAGCAATTAACTATAATTTTGGTGGTTTGACAGAGCAGTTTTATTTGTACATCAATTTTGACTAGGCAACATGTACAACTTATTTTTTTGCTCGGCCGCGAAATGTTTTTAAAAAGAAAACAAATTAAGCCGTTATTTCAACTTCATTCAGCCATGCTTACAGAACCGCCTTCTTACAGAAAAAGCCTCCTCTTATTTTACACTTATGCCTATTTATACTATTTATTTAATATGAATTTCATCATTTGATGAAATGACTGCGATTTAGTTATTATTAAGAATTTTATACCGAAATCTGTTTACAAATAGTGATTGGCGATATTTTGTTATTGCTTAGAGTTACTTTTCAATTAAACTATTATGTTTACTTTACAGTTATGTTATGTGAGCGGTGGCGTTAACTCCCCACCTCTAAGTCGAAGCGTCCGTCTTCGAATATAATGCTGTTAAGTGGTTGATTTGATTTGACAACCTCAATAAATTTTCTTCTTTTCTTTAGAATTTTAATTGAATTTGAGAAGTAATGATATAAAATTTATAAACAAAATAAACCAATAATGTCATTAACGCTATAATAGTAATTGACCACCAAATGGATTATTTTATTTCCTGTTTTAATGGTGTAAGTATATTGAAGTTGTTTAATCTCAAATCTACATTTTTGTTTCAATATATTCTTTTATAAAAATGTTTAAATTTTCCTTCTTTTAAATGATTTTCCTGTTGGGTTTTCTATATTTTACTATCAATTGTTACATTATCTTGAAAAGTTATTATTTAACATATCAGACAAACATGTATTATTTGCTGTTATCATACAAAATGCATTATTCAATTCATTTTACAAAATTTTAGGATAAAATTTAGCTTGGCATTTTATTATTTAATTTTCAATAAATAATTTCCATCGCTTTGTGTGACAGCTATTGCTTTAAATAATTTACATATGTTTTTACTTTTGGATATTTAATGTAAATAACTATTAAATTGTTTTTGTGCAATTTTGAAATCTGATACATCCATAAGATCTGATATTATACATAATTTTTCTTCGTTTATTATTTCTTTATTTCTGCCATATCTAAAATTAATGGATTTATATCCCTACTTTGACAATGCAATTCTTTCTACTGTGTTTTCAAGTTCATTTATTATTAGTTTATTCCTTCTTAAAAGTTTTTCATTAGAGCTACCTTGTAATTGTTTTAATATTTGAATTCCGTAATGGTCTTAAATAACTGTGAATTAGTTGTAAATTATTTATTATTATTTTCTATTAAATCATTTACTTTATTTGTTATTTGCATAAAATCATCATGGTCAGGTGTACCTGTAATCCATTTCCAAACTGTCCCAAGCTCATTAATACCTCTTTTGATCTATTATCAATTTTAATTTTATACTCGCAACCTGTTGCTAGAGTATAATAGTTTTTCTACCTAACGGTTGTTTGTATCACCTAAAACAATCGAGTTAGATATAGGGTTATATATATATAAATGATCAGGATGAAGAGACGAGTTGAAATCCGTTGTCTGTCCGTCCGTCCGTCTGTCCGTCCGTCCGTGCAAGCTCTAACTTGAGTAAAATTGAGATATCTTTATGAAACTTGAGACATGCATGGTACCTGAGACGGTTGGTATTGCAGATGGGCGTAATCGGACCACTGCCACGCCCACAAAACGCCATTAATCAAAAAAAACTTGCATAACTAAGCTACGCAATAAGATACAAGATCTATTTGACACAGGATCACATTAGGAGGCTTGCAGTTAAAATTTTTAAAAGTATGGTCCGCCTCTAATAGGTTTAATGTGCATATCTCCTAAACCGCTAATGCTATAATAACAAAATTCACTGGAAGCAAATGTTTAGCACTTCTATTGACGGTGTGAAAATAGTTGAAATCGGGTAGTCCGCCCACTCCCATATATAACGGTACTGTTAAAACTACTAAAAGCGCGATAAATCAAGCACTAAACACGCCAGAGACATTAAATTTTATCTCTGAGATGGTATAAGATGATCTTATAGGAACCGTGTCGTTAAATTAGACAGTGGGCGTGGCACAGCCCACTTTTAGGTGAAACCCATATCTTGAGATCTGCTTAACCGATTTCAACCAAATTCGGTGCATAACGTTCTTTCGTTTCTATGTCACAGTGCGAAATGGGCGAAATCGGACTACAACCACGCCTACTTTCCATATAACACCATTTTAAATTCCATCTGATTATTTCACTTTCACTATGCAAATCAGGCAACAATGACTGTTCGATAAACTTTGCGTGAATAATGCGATTAAAGTATGCCACCTTGGCTAAAATTGTCTAAATCGAACAAAACTGTTTAAGCCCCTAAGTACTAAATATGTGGACCCCAGTGCTATAGTTGACCTTCATCGAAAATATCAGCCAATCCACAAAGAAATCTAAACGAGTATACTATTTGACTTTGAGTATAAAATGTTCGGTTACATCCGAACTTAGCCCTTCCTTACTTGTTTTAATAACGTTTCTATCATTTGTTTTCAAAATCCATATTCAAATCTTCAAATAATCACTTATTTCTATCGATTCTATAATTTTATAATGTTCTCATAATTAATTATATCCGATGTGATAATTGTAGTATACAACATACAATAAATTTGTTTATGTGTCCCCATTGTTTCTATAAATTATAAAATTACACTTTAATATTGTCCTATGAACAACTCTGTTTCTGCTTTGTATTTAACCCTATTTCCTAAATCCTCTATTACTATTTGTTTTTATATTTGGTTTTAATTTATTTCTTTCCCATATATTTTTCATATATAACTTCCTCTATGATAACTTTTGAATCCGTTTTTATTATGGTACTTCAACATTTTTCCGACATTTTAATATTTCTCATATTTCCATGTGCTTCTTTGTTAAATAAAACATTATAAGGTTTTTTATCTGTTACCGAGTGTA